GAGAGATTTCCTTTCACTAGAAATCAATTCAGAATTTCAGCTCCAGGCTTTAGACATTGACGAGAACAATAAGCTCAATTATCCATAAGCAGCTTACGCTTATCTGTGGAGACCTGGGAATGTTGATTCTCACCCAGTTGAGTTCTGGTGGGGGAGAGCTGGGTGGGTGTTGCCTCTGAACTATGTGTGTGTATGTGCACACACACGTGCATGGGGTGGTGGTGTACTCTGTAAACCAAGGCCTGATTTGCCTAGTCCTCTCCTTCCGACCTTCATTAGCATCAGGCTGGCCATTCCGGGCGGCTTGGAGGCCATTGCTGACAGGCCCCGGTTTGCACGGCTCTTTAGTGAGAAGGAGCCGGCGGTCTCTCTAGTGGGCTGTCTGATCTCTGTTGAGCCGCGGTGTGGTGGGCAGGGCTGTGGGAAGCCGGAACCTCCCCTGTAACTGCCCTGTAAATGCTCCCAGCAGGCCCAGGCTAGCTCATTAAGTCACCTGGAGGTTGTCTGTTGGGAGGGGTTCAAAGTCACCATAGCCAGCACGGGGAGGGGTGGGGAGTAGAGAGCCTACCTGGTCCTGTGACGGCATGGGTGGATAGAGGAGAGATGAGACCAGAGTCTTGCCAGTCTTCTGGGCACCACGTAGCTAAGTGCTGCCCCCTACAGGAGTTTGTGAGTGATTAAGTGGTCTTGCCCCCCAACTTAACCCAGTGGTTTAGGAAAGGTCTTGATGTGTATTGGTAACAAACCCAGGTATTTCAGAGAGGTTGTCATGTGCCAAGGGTGTGTACGGGCAAAGCAAGGTGAGGCAGGGGCTGGTGGCACCGATTCCAGAGCCAGAGCCCTGGGCTCGCAGCCAGGCGTCTCCTCCCAGAGTCTCCTTGTACTCGTGGGATTAGGGTGCACATACCCCACGCCTTGCACAGATCCAACAGGCTGAATGTGAACAGAGTTCAGAGCCGTGAGGGACACGTGTCCCTGCTCACTCAGAGTCAGCTCCGCTCTCATGAAGCCTTGGTGACAAGTGGCAGGGTAGAGACCAGTGGCTTCCCACTTTTCCCAGAGAACTGGGAAATGACAGTCGACAGCTTCCTGTGCTCCGTAGCTAAGCTATTGTAAGGCGGGAACGTGGGTCTGAAAACGCACCCTCTGCCTTGGGCTTCTTGGGTTTGAAGAAGCTGAACCCAAATCTGGAAGAACGAAGGAGATTTGAGTTAGCAGTGGGGTCCGGGCATGCTGACAGGTGGGACTAAGGTATGTGAAGATGGGTTGCTAGCACATGAGTACAGCCTGCTCCAACA